CAACGGGAAAGAAAGATTCTAGAGACTCAGACTGTCTAAATCACAGACATGAGCTGTCATAGTTGTGCAGGTGCATGCTGCCAACCTTGCCAACCCGCGTCTCTAAAATTGACTTCTGACCTGCACACACAAGACCCGTGGAGCAGCACTGCCCCCCCAAAAAAAAAGTGGCGCGTGCCTTTAATCCCAGCATTTGGGAGGCAGAAGCAGGCGTATCTCTGCGAGTTCAAGACCAGTCTGGTCTACAAAGCAAGTTCCAGGACAGCCAGGGCTACACAGAGAAACCCTGTCTAAAAAATCCAAAAACAAACAAACGATAGATAGACAGACAGAAAGACAGATAAGGCAAAAAGATGGTTGGGGATACTCAGGAGTAAATCACTTACTGGCCCTATTCAGTCAATCCGTACACTCCAGGGAGGGGGGTGTGAGGATGGGGGATGGGAGGAAGGGGAAGAGGAAGAAGACGGGAAAGGGGAGATGCTGGTCTCTCTTGCTGCTCTTGCAGAGGACTCAGTTTCGATCCCAGCATACACACGGTGGCTCACAACCATCTACAGAGCTCATTCTAAGGGACCAGACTCCCTCTTCTAGGCAGAGGGCACTGCATGTATGTGGTGCACAGACATACACGAAGACAAACATCTACATATGTAAAATAAAAAATATGCCTTTACATCCGGGCGGTGGTGGCACACTCCTTTAGTCCCAGCACTGGGCAGGCAGAGGTAGGAGGATCTCTGTGAGTTCAAGGCCAGCCAGGTCTACAGAGTTAATAGCCAGAGCCGTTAACACAAAAAACACAGTCAAAAACAACAATAACAACAACAACAAAATAAAATTAGTGGCTTGGAGAGATGGCTCAGTGGTTAAGAGCACTGACTGCTCTACCAAAGGTCCTGAGTTCAATTCCCAGCACCCACATGGTGGCTCTCAACCATCTATAGTGGGATCTGACACCCTCTTCTGGCGTGCGGGTGTACATACAGATAGAGCACCATATACATAACATAAATAAATATTAAAAAGTAAAATTAATAAACGACACAGAAGAGGAAGGGGATGATGGGAGGAACACAGAAGCAAAGGAATCTGAGAGGCTCTGATATATGGCCAAGGATGTAGGCCAGCAGGGCACAAAGCCCCCAGGTTCCATCCCCTGCATCGAACGGACAGGGGGCGATAGTGTGCACCTCAGGAGAGGCGCAGGAAGGAGGATCAGAAGGTCAAGATTAACCTCAGATCACTACATATACAACATATATGGTCCAGTTCCGCTGGCTACAGGGCGATTGACATCAGTCTTCAGAGTGGGAACCCTGGGAAGTTTCAATTCATTCACTAAGCACATGTTCCGCGCCAGGCACTGCCCCAGACCCCAGAGGGACATGTTCTGAACAAATTAGACAAAACCCCTGACTTCATAAAGTGGAGCGTCCGTAAAACAAAACATGGAGTCAGACAAGGTAAAGCTAGCTTGACACGTGATTGTCTTCAAGGCATCAGACCTCAGACCCGAAGGAAGTGGAGTCACACAGACCTCTCGGGAGAGGTCTGCTGGACAGAGGGGAAGGTCTGTGCAAAGCCCCTGGGGCGTAGGCGCTGTGGTCAGAAGAGGACTCGGGGTGTAAAGGTGTGCGTGGAGGAGAGTGGAGCTGGGGACAGGCCTGCAGGGTGTCTCCCCATGTGATCTCAGCTAAGGACAAGATCTTTGGACACTGGGGAGGAGGAGAGTGAAACTAAAAATGTCCAAATCACATATTCTCAGAACTTGGGCATCTGGATACTCAAGATGTGCAAGAGGCTAGATCTGCTAGCGTCGGCATTCCCAGATGTCAGAACCACCCTGTGTGGGACGCAGGATGGTAAATACCGACTGCTAGGGCTCTGAGTTGAGCCGAATCAGAGGAGGGGCTTGGAACCCGGAAGCCAGCCCCTCAGGGCTAGCTTGGGAGTTCTGCACTCAGGAGAGCCTCGAAGCCTTCGAAAATCGAAACCGGACCCCCTGCCCCCACCTGGCAGGGCAACCGGAGGCCTGCAGAGGAATGGGGCCTTCAGCGGGTTACTACTGAGTGGCAAAGCCCGCTAAAGACTCAGCTCAGTAGTCCTGGCACCAACCCAAGGATGGTGTTTTGCGGGGGACAGGGGGCCTGACATCCGGGGTGACATTAGGAGTGCCTTTTGGGCAGATATTGAGGGTTAGATTCGAAGATGGATGATGAGGGGTGTCGATCTTTCCATTCTGACTCAACCCGTCAGCTGCGGCCAGCACCAGGGTTGGGGACAGCTCCCCACGCGCCTGCTCCTTCTCAGACTGGGCGGGGCGACCCAATCCCGCGCCCCGGGAGCCCCCCCGACATGCGATCTCCGTGACCCCCCACCTCCGCCCCATTGCACCGGGTCCTCCGGGTCAGGATGTCCCAGTTGCCGCCAAAGCGCGGTAGGGGGGAGGGGAGAGGAGGAATTCCTTTGTCTCCTTCGGCTTCTGCCCCTCCGCCCGGCTCCATCTACCTCGAGCCCGCGGCGCGCACGGAAGATGGAGACCCAAGAAGGACCCCACGCGGGTTCCTGCGCCCCACACCAGGCCGGAGCCTCTGCATACTCACTGCAGTGGGCGAAGACCGGCAGGACCTGCCCCATGGCCCCCCTCGGGCCTGCATCGGGACCCCCGCCCACTCCGGCCGCGCCGCCCTGGGCCTGGGGCCACGGGCGCTCATCTCCGCCGCGTCCACGACGCCGCCGCCATCCTGCTCGGCTGCTCCAGCAGCCGCCGCCGCCGCCGCCCTCTGCTCGGCTCGGCGCGGGAGGGCGGGGCCGCGGAGGAGCAGGCACTGCAGCGCCGGGGGCCCGGAGCGGAGGGGCGGGGCTTGAGAGCTCCGTGGGCGGGGCTACCGTTCATAAGGGCGGGGTCTCGAGCTCGAGGGCGCGGCCTTGAGAGGAGTGGGGCGGGGCTTGAGTGGAATGTGGCGCTGGAGAAGCGGGTCCAGAGTAGGTTGGCGCAAATGTAGGGGTGATGGCATTGAGAGAGGGTGGAATATGATGTTCTGGGGTACAGTCCGAGCCTAGACTTGCAGATGGCGTGGGAAAGGGGGGCGGGAAAAAAGTACTCAGACTTAAAACTTTTTACACTTATAAATAATTGTGTGTGGGTGTGTGCCTTGGAGCATGTCTGCAGGTCAATCTCCACTCACAGTCGTCAAAGTAGGAGCTCGGGGAAGTTTCAGTTCATCCTTCTTTCAACGATCATCTACTGAGAGCGTGTTGTGCGGCAGACACTGTTCTAGGCCCCAGAGGGATTAAACTCAGGTCATCAGGCAAGAACTGAACCGTCTTGCCCGCCCCAAAGCACTGAAAACTTTTGAGGCACAGGGAAGAGCTTAGGCATGGGTGCAGGAGAGGTTTAGAATGGCATAAAATGACTTAAACGATGGGGTCTGCTCTAGAGATGTGGTCTGGAGAGAATAGAAAGGATGAGACGAAGGTTACTTCAGCATAGCGACCTCTGCGGGAGACAGACAGCTTTGCTTTGTTTGGTTGCTGGATCTTTTGTTTTTTAAAGTTTTTCGAGACAGGGTTTCTTTGTGTAGCCTTGGGTGTCCTGGAACTGGCTCTGTAGACCAGGCTGGCCTCAAACTCACAGAGATCTAGCTGCCTTTACCTCCTGAGTGCTGAGATTAAAGGTGTGCACCACCACCTGGCATTTTTAAAAAGGTATTATTACTATAGCTGTTTTTTACTTTTGAGACAAGGCCTAAAGTGGCCTTGAATTCCTGATCCTCCTGCCTCTACCTCCTAAGTGCTGCGATTACAGGACTGTATTACCATGTCTGGCTTGGAGGCCACCTTTGACTAGCCAGTACCCTGAAGGCAGAAGCAGGAAGGCCAGGAGTTCAAGACCAGCCTCAGCAACAATATGGAGTTTGAGTCCAGCCTGGGCTACAATGAGGACTTGTCTCAATAACAACACAAAATGGTTTGGGAGGAGGCATTTGACCCACCTAAGTGGTTGCAGCTTGAGTTTAGGCAATCTGCAATATGAAGGCTATCTTTATGTTGAGGGCAAGGGTTTTCTAGAGTTCATTTCCTGTTTTCTAAACTGGCCACATGAAAGCCGGGCATTTGGGGAGGGAAGGAGTCAAGAGTTAGCTTGGTGGTTGAGAACACTTGTTCTTACAGAGAGCCCAAGTTCGATTCCCAGCATCCCCATTACAGTTATGCAACTCAAGTCCTGGAGGATCCAATGCCCTTTTCTGACCTCCAAGGATTCCAAGACATATACATACATGTAGGCAAGATACCCATTCCCATAAGATAAATGAATCTAGAAATAAATTACAAGACAAAAAGCCAGGTGTGGTGGGCAAGCCTTCTATCTCAGCATTCAGAAGGCGAAGGCAGGAAGACTTGGTTTGAGAGTCTGGTTTACAAAGTGATTTCCAAGCCAGTCTTGGCTACATAGTGAGACCCCCATGTCTGTCTCAAAACCCAATAATAATAACAATAATAATAAATAATTTGTCAAATAGAATAGTGTGTGCGTGTGGCTTGTGAGAGGGCTGAGGGGGTAAAGGCAATTGTTGCCAAGCCTGATGACCTGAGTTCTATTTCCAGGATCCACGAGGTGGAAGGAACCGGACTCTCACAATTGTCCTCTGACCTCCGCCCACATTAACTGAGTGTGATAGATTTTTAAATGGTGCGTTACACCTGGAAGCAGAATGCAAATAATTCGCTCATCCTCCTACTCCCACACACCCGCACCCAGCGCTTGACCCAGGCACTAAGTCTGTTTTCTTGAAAGTGCGGGAAAGAAACCCATGAATACACCTCTTATTGACCCAACTTCATTCAGGTCAGATGAAAGGATAGGAAAGAGATTTACTTGGTTTAAAGTCTCACGGAAGAGAGATTAGGGGAGGCGGGGTGGGGGTGGGGCGGCAGGGGAGGCACGGAAGGAAGGCGGTGAGGGGATGGAACCTTCCTGACCCCGCGGCAGGAGGATGGCTGTCTTTGCCCGCCTGCTGGAGCGTCTCAGGTGGTCCGGTAAAGCTCAAGAAGCTGCGGAGCAGGAGGCAGAGGTGGAGCGCAGGGTCCTCGGCGAGCCTGGGTGTCTCCTGGCTGCGCCCCGATGCTCGCAGAGGCTACACGGGGGTGCGGCGAGCGCACCCGGCCTGCGTTTCGGGTCGAGCGCGGTGCAGGGCTGGCGCGCGCGCATGGAGGACGCGCACTGCGCTCGGCTGGCTTTGCCCGGGCTGCCGTCGGGCTGGGCTTTTTTCGCAGTCCTGGATGGCCACGGCGGAGCGCGGGCCGCGCGCTTCGGAGCGCGCCACCTCCCAGATCACGTGCTGGGGGAGCTGGGTCCCGCGCCCCGGGAGCCCGAGGACGTGCGCCAGGCTCTGCGTAGCGCCTTCCTCCGCGCAGACGCGCATCTGCGCGCGCTCTGGCCCCGCAGCGACCCCGGTGGCTCGACGGCGGTGGCGCTGCTCGTGTCCCCGCGCTTTCTCTACCTGGCGCACTGCGGGGACTCGCGCGCGCTGCTGAGTCGCTCGGGCTCCATGGCCTTCTGCACCGAGGACCACCGTCCCCACCGGCCTCGGGAACGCGAGCGCATCCACGACGCTGGCGGCACGATCCGTCGCCGGCGCGTTGAGGGCTCCTTGGCCGTGTCCCGAGCCCTAGGCGACTTCGCCTACAAGCAGGCACCCGGGAGGCCTCCTGAACTGCAGCTCGTGTCCGCTGAGCCCGAGGTGGCTGCGCTGGCGCGCCAGGCCGAGGACGAGTTTGTGCTCCTGGCCTCCGATGGCGTGTGGGATGCTCTGTCTGGGGCGGACCTGGCGGGGCTGGTGGCGTCGCGCCTACGTCTGGGCTTGGCCCCGGAGCAGCTCTGCGCTCAGCTGTTGGATACGTGCCTGTACAAGGTCCTGGGGCCACTGTATGTGGGGCGGAGGGGCTTGTATGATAAGAGGTGGGACCGAGCTAGAGGATGTGAGTGGCTTAGAGTCCAGAGCAAGGATGCTTTGAGCATGATAGAGCATAGTAGTAGGGGCAGATATAGGTAAACGGGAGGGATTTAGGAGAAGGGGCGTGGCCTCTAGGAATGGTACCCAAGCTGGGATTTCAGGCCAGTCCTGAGATGTGTCCTAAACAGAAAGAGCCCCTTAAACAGGAAGAATTTAAAAGGCTTTGGGCTGCTTGTTATTTTATTTATTCAGTTGTATTACATTTTGATGTATTTTGTGTGCGTAGGTCAGAGAACATCTTACAGCAGTCTGTTCTTCTTCTACCATATATATGGGTCCCAGGGATCAAACCCAGGTTGTCAGGCTTGGTGGCAAGCATCTTTGCACACTGAGTCATCTTGCTGGCCAGTGGCTGTTTTCTCTGATAAAGCTTGGTGGCTAGGACCCGTAAAGGGCATGGTCCAAGAGATGGGCCCAAATGGGAGAGAGAAAGCTTGAATGAGATAGTCAGGTGGGTGGGGGGGGAGGGGAAGGTTGGGAAAACCATGCTCTCAAAGGCCTGGAACCTGGGAAGGGTTTGACTTTCCCAGCAGGCTCTTTTTCCTTCCAGGGAAGTCTGGATAACATGACTTGCATGGTGGTCTGCTTCCCAGGGGCCCCCGGGCCTTGTGAGGAGGCGATCAGGAGGGAGATGGCTTTGGATGCAGCCCTGAACCACAAAGTTGCTGGTGAGCGGTGATCAAATGGCCTGTGGAAGGGGCAGCTGGCAAGGGTGGGCTCTCCACTCACCTCCTTCTCAGAGCTGTATTTGTCTGCTCAGGAACCCCCTTGCCTAAACACGGTTTTCAGGACCCTAGAGTCAGAGGACATCCCAGGCTTGCCTCCCGGAGGAGGGCTGCATAGCAAGTGAGCAGGGGTGAGGCGGGATGGGCTGGGTCACAGGGCTAGGCCTTCTCTTAAGGGCTCCCTCCCTCTGCGCTTAGGGCCACTGTCATTGCTGAAGCCTACTCTAAACTCCGTCAGACCCCAGAGGAGTGTCAAGAGGTAAAGCACGCTCTCTTAGAGTCTATCCCGGACCTACCCGACACCCCTACCCGCCCTCCACACTCCTGCCGCTCTGGCAAGGACACCCCCACTGCGGTCAGGTCCCAGCCGCGGTCAGGTCCCAGCCGCGGCCCAGGCCTGTGTTGTTGTTGTTTTTAACTTTTATGTTTTACCCTTTTTATTTGTGTGTGTGTGTGTGTGTGTGTGTGTGTGTGTGTGTGTGTGCCATGTTGCTGTTAGGGGAGTCAAAGGACTACCCACCAGAGTCAGTTATCTCCTTCTACCATGTGGGTCCCAGGGATTTAACTTAGGTCATTAAGCTCGGAGGCAAGTGTAAACATACAAAGTGTATCATACAAACTATGATAGATAGTCTCACCACCCCTTCAAAGTGTGTGTGTGCGCGCGTGTGCGTGTGTGTGCGCGCGTGCGTGTGTGCTTATTTTTTAAATTTAAGACAGGCATGGTGCCAAATGCCTTTAATCCCAGCACTTACAAGGCAGAGGCAGGCGGATCTCTGAGAGTTCAAAGCAAACCTGGTCTATAAAGACAGTTCCAGGACAGTCATGGCTACACAGTGAGATCTTGTCTCAAAAAAAATAAAAAAATCCACAAATAAAATAAAGGTCCATAGATAGGATCAGTGGTAGAACACTCTCTAGTATGTGCAAGGCCCTGGTTCCCTTCAAAAACAGCAAGTAAGATGACTGGCTGGTTAGGAGCACTTAGTGCTGTCCCGGAGGAACCGTGGGTCACAGCTGCAACTCCAGCACTCTGGAGTGAGGGACTGAAGTCACCATGGATGGCATGTGACCCTGGTTTGAAAAAAAAGAAAAGAAAGAGGCTGGGTAGTGGTGGCACATTATTTAGTTCCAGCACTCGGGAGGCAGAGGCAGGCAGATCTCTGTGAATCTGAGACCAGCCTGGTCTGCAGAGTGAGTTCCCAGACAGCCAAGATGGTTACACATAGAAACCCTCCCTCAAAAAAAGAAAAACAAACAAACAAAAAAATAAAACGCCCATACACTTGCATTTTAATTTTTAAAAAGAAAAACAAAACGGGGGGGGGCTGCTTCTAGAAGACTGAGTGGGGTGCGGACGGGCGGCTTCACCATCTCCCACGGTTTGTTTTACAGAAGAGGTGAGATGGTGGAGAACCCACCAGCGCCCACTCAGCACTTGACAGGAACTCAGGCCTGACAGTGGCTGTCCCCTGGGGACCATCTGCGCAGCTCAGGGGAAATCTGTGCTTCCTTACCATGAGGGGCAGAGGAAGGAGGGCCAGCCACGGAGGAACCTAGAATCTTCATTTCCCCTTCTCCTACGAGGGGGCCACGCCACCATCACCCAACAGCACAAAGAACCAAAAAACAGCTGAGCGTGCTCCTTTTTCTCCTGCTTAGTATTTAAAGCCAAACAGATCTTAAGAAATCAGTGTGTAACAGCCTATTTTTTTTTTAACCTTCTCTACAAGGATGTGGTAAAAGATCTGAATATTAAATTAGAGTTAATAAAGCAATTTCAAGTGTATTCCTTTTCTTTGTTTCTTTTTTCATTATTACTATTTATTTTGTGTGTGTGTGCACGCGCACGCGCACGCGCGTACATGATGCAGCTTGCACGTGGGAGTTAGAGGACAACTTTGAGGAGTTGGTTCTGGGGGTTGAACTTGGGTCCTCAGGATTGGCAGCAAGCTCTATTACCTGCTGGGCCATCTCGCTGGGCCCCTTTCTTTGTTTATTTTTTTTTACCCCCCTGCATTTCCCTTTCGTGCGTTTATTTATTTATTTTTCTGGATATGAATGTTTTGCCTGCATTTATCGGCACGTATTGCATGCGTGCCTTGTGCCGCCGGCAGAGGCCAGAAGAGGGCATCAGATCCCCTCCGATTGGATTTACCCTGAGTATTGAATTGGTGGAAGGATGCTAGGAACCACACTAGTAGTAAGTCCTCCAGCACTGAGCCATCATCTCCAGCAGCCCTTTTAATTTCTGTTCTGACCATGCAGTCCAGGAGGGCCTCGAACCGGAAGCCTTCCTGCCTCGGCCTCTCAGGTGCCGAGCTCACAGGCAGGCGCCGCCTCTTCATCCAGCTCCATGTTTTCTAAAAAGTGGCTTGTTAGCTGGGCGTTGGTGGCCCACACGTTTAATCCCAGCACTCAGGAGGCAGAGGCAGGTGGATCTCTGTGAGTTCTAGGCCAGCCTGGTCTACAGAGCGAGTTCCAGGACAGGCTCCAAAGCAATACAGAGAAACAAAGAGTGTCAGATGTCCTGGAACTGGAGTCACAGACAGTGGTGAACTACCATGTGGGTGCTGGGAATTGAACCTGGGTCCTCTGGAAGGACAGTCGGTGGTGAATGCCCTTATAGCTTGAGCCAGCTCTCTGCCTTTATATTTTTAAAGGGTTCTAAGAAAAAGATGTGAGCTGGGATGTGGTAGCCCACCCCTTTAATCCCAGCTCTTGGGAGGCAGAGGCAGGTGGATCTCTGTGAGTTTGACACAGCCTGATCTACAGAGTGAGCTCCAGGACAGTCAGGGCGATTATACAGAAAATCCTCGTCTCAAAAAAACAAAGAAATGGCACTGGAGAGATGGTTCATCAGTTAAGAGCACTGGCTGTTCTCCCAGAGGATCGGGTTCACCCATGTGGCAGCTCAACACAGACATACATGCAGGCAAAATACCAATGCACATAAAATAAATAAATTACTAAAAGAAAGAAAAACATCAAAGCAAAAAAGATGCGAGGGGGCTGCACATGTACCTAAGTGGTAGAGTCTTATTTAGTTGTGAAAGGCTTGTGTTGTATCTCTCACAAGGGGCACACGCGCGCGTGCACGCAAACACACACGGACCATGACTGTGTACTATGCTTGAAGTATTTCCACTGGGACTTTTTTTGTGCACCTGCCCGTGTGGGTACAGGTGTTCATGTGCTCTCATGCATGTGATCAGAGGTCGACTTCAGGAACTTCTTCCTAGATTGTTCTTGACCATATTTCAGAGACAGCATCTCTCCAAACCTGGAGCTCGTTGATTCAGTTGGCCAGGGAAGCGTGGGTACCTTTCATGTCCTGATTCCCCAGGTCTGGGGGGGGGGTTTGAGTTCTACTTTTACACGGGTACAGGGACCCCAGCCCAGTCCTTGGGATGGCGGAACAGGCGCTTTGCATTGGACCCATCTCTCCAGCCCTGTTAATGAGACTTTTTATAGGAAATGTTTGCTAGCTCTTGCGACAGGGCAGGAGCTTTGCCCTTCCCATTTCACAGATGGGCAAAAGGGAACTCACAAGCAATGGGGTTGTTCTTCAGTTGTAACTGTTGCTCCAGTTTGGCCTCCTTGAGAACACCAAAGAGGGTAAATCTGTGTCTGTTCCAGTCTACTCAGAGACTGGGGGAGTCACAGATTTATAACGGAGATCAGTGGTTTCCAACCTGCAGGTCGCAACCCCTTTGGGGGTCGAAAGAAAATACAGATACTTACGTTATGATTCACAACAATAGCAAGATTACAGTAATGAAGTACCAATGAAAATAACTTTATGGGTTGGGGGGGTCACCATAGCATGAGGGACTGTATTAAAGGGTCAAAATATCAGGGAGGCTGAGAACCACTACTCTAGAAGGATGCCGGGGAGCATGGATTGCTCATGTTTTTGTTTTGCGATTATTGTCTTTCAGACAGGGTCCCACTGTGTAACCCTGGCTGACTGGGAAACTCACGATGTAGACCAAGCTGGCCTCCGATTCATGGAGATCTGCTTGCCTCTGCCTCCTGAGTGCTAGAGGTAAAGGTGTAAGCCTGGTCTATTTGTGCTTTCTTATCTTAAAAAATTTACTGTGTTATTGTGTGTGGTGTGTGCGCGCGTGCGCGTGTGACTGTATAGGGTATGCACCTACAATGCAGCTCCCTGGAAGGCCAGAGGCCTAGGATACCCTGGAACTGGAATTACAGGCAGCTGTGAGTCTTGTGAGTGCTGAGAATTGAACTTGTGTCCTCTGGAAGAGTAGCAAGTATTTTTAACTACGGAGGCATCCCCACACCCCTTAAATATGTAACCTCACTTCGAAGTCACTCTGTAACCCCAGCTGGCCTCAGACTCGCGATTGTCCTGCCTCAGCCTCCTGGTTTGTGGCATGGCGGCGAGCTTACTAGGTTTTTTCAGTGCAGAATTAGAAGAGTTGGGCGTGAAGGAAGAGGTTCTCGAAGGTGAAGGGCCCACAGGGAGCAAGCATCCAGGAAATGAACTGGCTAAAGGCCACGTGGCTTGATTCTCCCTGAGTCTTGGGGGACCCAACCAAGACGATCATAGGCTAAACCCATCCATCCCTACCTACATGCCTCAGTTTCCAGACTTGCAAAGCAGGAACCAGGAACTGGTGCTTTCCAGGGGAATAACGCCTTTCCCCCAGCCAGGTGGAGCTGCACGGGGGGGCGTGTCCACATGGTGATGATGTAACTCTGGGCGGGGTTACAAGGGACTCCGCGGAAGCCTCGCAGGGTGTCTGGGCTCCGCTCGACCCGGGCGTGTTGGGGGAGGGGTCCCCAAGGGGGGGGTTGTCTCTGGGCCTACGGGGTTGCTGGGACGGTCCTACTCTGCTCCGTGGGCGAAGCTAAGTGGTAGCTGGGCCCGAGTGGGGAGCAGATCAGGGGGTCCCAGCCCTGGTCCTGCGCTCCTGGCCGATCCCCACCTTCACCCCCGCCCCCGCCCCAGCCGCGACCCGGCGGCGGTGAGTCAGCGGCCCCGCCGCGCCCCCTCGCTCACTTCCTCCACACCTTCCCCGGGAGGGTGGGGGGCGGCGAGGGGTGGGGCCCGGCCTGAGCAGCGGCATCTGGGGAACACGGAACAAGCCAAAGTGTTACTTAAAGGTGGAAATTGATGCGATCCCTTGCTTAACCGGAGGGCCCGCCCACCCCACTCCACCCCCCCAAAAAAAAAACTGAGCAGAGAAGTCCACGGGGCGAGTAGGACGCGAGAGCCTGCACCCCCAGACCTCCACCTAAGAATTCAATAGCGGAGGCCCCTAGAGATCAAAGAAAGGCCCCTTCTCTTCCACCGCGCCTCCCCCTCCAACTCGGGACGAGGCGCAGGGCGCACCCCCACGCCGCGGGCTCGGGAAGGCGTGCAGTTGCGGAAGCCGAAGGTTCCGCGTCGCCTTTTAAGCGCTCTCCACCCCCCCCGCCTCCACCCCCACCCCCGCCTCCGCCTGGAGGTGTCCACGGCCCCTTTAAGGCGCGGGGCATTGTGGGTGCGGGGAGTGGAATTTTGGAACGAAATGTAGCAAAGAGAGTACAGTAGTAAGAGTAACCGCGTAGGTGCAGCCGGCCGAGGGGGTGCGCCGGCCGGAGAGGTCGGGACGCTGCACCCCGCTTCCCAGCACCGGCGATCGCGGCGCGCCAGGGCAGCAGAGGGAGGAGGCGCCCTTGGACCCGCCCCGGCCCGCTCCACGTTCTCCCCAGGAAGCTGGACTCTATGGGGCGGGACCCCGAGAGAGACTGAGCAGAGCCTGGAGCCAGCCCCGCACCCCTGCACTTCCAACCAGGGGCGCCCCGGGAGCACTCCCCGTGGGCGCGCCGCCCGCCCTCCGCGCAGCCATGAGGTGAGCTCCGAACCCCCCTCCCCTCCCCTCCCCACCCCACCCGCAGCCCGGTTCCAGCCGGGCGCCGGCTCCGCGCCCCGCCTTTGTCCCCCTCCCCCCGCCCGCTCGCTCAGCGCTGCATTTCGGGGGCGCCGGGCGCCCCGGGGCTGAGCCGACGCCTCCTGGGGCGATCTGGAAACGCCGACTCCCCGAAGGCTTGAGGCGGCGCCGGCTGGGGGTCTCCCGATGGCTTCCAGGGTGAGGGGCGCCCTCGGGACTCGGGATGTGAAGACTTTTCGGGGAGCACCTCCGAGTTGGCAGATAGGTGGAGCCGTCCGGCGTCAGCGGGGCGCGGAGTCACTGCCCCTGACTCCAGCCCTGGGTGGGTAGGCGGTGGGAGGCGGAGGCTGGAGAGCCCGAGCCCCGGAGCGCGGGGACTGGACCCCTGCGCCCTGCGCCCGGGGCGCACGACAGTGCCCCAGAGCGGCACGGGCCGCGGGTCCTAACTTCGGGGTTACTTCTTGATGCCTCTAAATGAGGGGACACGGAGGTCCCCTGCACAGGGGGCCCTGCCAGTCCGACCTCGGGGCCTGGAGGGTCTGCATGGGGCTCCTCTCCCCCTGGGTACCCAGGCCGGGAGCTCTTCAGGCCCAGGGCGGCTCGGGAGGGAGGGGGCCTTTGTCTTCCGGACTCACCTGTCCGGACAGCTGGTGTTGGGGGGCGGGCCCCGAGAGCGCTGCGGGCCAGCTGCTCTCCCCACTGCGCGGCCCCTCCCCCGGGGCTCGCAGCGTCGCCCGGGGTCACCCCCTGCCCCAGCCGTGGGACTGGAGGAGGGGGCGCTGGGAGGCGTCAAGGTCACAGCCTTCTCCCTCGGGGACCTGGGCTCACCAGCTTCTTCCAGCTCTTCTCGGAAATCTAACCCAGGGGGTGAGGGGAACCTAGGAATGTCTCTTTTCTCTTTTTTAATGTCTTCCCCGGACGTGCCCTGGACTCCGGGGCTCACCTGAGGGCGGGGCCTGCGCTGGCAGAGGCCTCCCCTCCGCCCCCCAGAACCTCTCCCTCGGGGCCACATCTTGACAATACTATCTCCCTTCCTCCACTTTGGCCGGGACTTCCTGCCCCCAAGCCCCTGGCTGGGGGAGGAGTCTTCTGGGGACTTCAGCCCCGAGTGCACCTCCTCCTCCCCTGCCCTCTGACAGCGGGGTGACCGTCCGCCCCGGGACCTGAGCGAGGACCCGTCCCCCCCACGCCTGTGCCTTGGCATGTGGGAGTGTTGGGCTCTGGGGCTGGAAGGGGACGTCGAGACACCCTGCAGACTTCCTGCCTGACCTTCCCTCCCCCATGGGAGTGCTGTCCCCCGAACGGGGGTCAGTTCCTCCACGGGGCCCTCCCCCACCCCCTCTCCTGCTGCCCCCGGCCCTGCCCCTCCCCCACCCGTTTCCGGTCCCAGGCCCGGTGGAAGGCGGATGGCGGATGTCCGAGTTAGTGCCGCCTCGCTCGCTGAGACCGTAAAAGGGCAGGAGCAACGTCTAGGCCGGCCCCCTAAACCCCCACCCCCAGCCGCGGTCCTCCCGCAGCCTCCTCCCTCTGACTGTGACCCGGGACAATCCTCCCTCCCCTGAGGGTGGGCAGGAGTGGGCGGGTCCCCCACCCTCTTGAGTGAGGGTCTCCCTGCCCTTTCCCGCCCTCGGCCACTTGGTGGGCTGTGCACTTTAGTCTCGGGACAGCCCGGATTAAAAGAGAGACGAGAGAGAGACCCACCCCCTACTCCCAGCTGGGTGACCTCAGGAGCCTGGGTCCAGGGCCCTCCGAGATCTTGTGCTGCCTTGGGGAAGGGGGCAGACTGGTTCGCTGGGGATAGCCCTGGGGGCAGTGGGAAGGGAGGTAGCTGAGATGGAAAATTACAAGATACGGTTCTTTCTCTCCCACTCTGACAAATATTTGTGGAGTGCCTGCTGCATCCGGGAGCTGGGAAGGCAGGGAAGGGGTCAGAGGTCTGAAGGCTCTTGGGCAGACCGAGTTCTGAAAGACAGCACTTGGGTTCATTCCTTTCCTCTTACAGTAATAACAGAAGCGGCGGCTGTTATTTTATTTTGAAGCCATGAAGAGGGTTCAGTCACACATCTTCATGCCAGGAGCTAGGAGGAGCAGTTAACGTGGTCTGATCCACCTCCACCACAGTTACCTGTGATGCTAGCACAAGTTTGTGTCCCCATTTTATAGGTAGTAAAACAGAGGCTCAGAGACATCAAGGGAATAGCCTATTAAAGTATAACCGTTTGGGAGCACCGTGTTGTGACTCATGTTTGTAACGGTAGCACTTGGAGCTACCTCTTGGAGGCCAACATGGGCTATTGAGTCCCTGTCTCAACAATAAATATATAAAGTCAGTTTCTAGGTGGTAACATTTTAACTTGGACCCAGGACTGTCTAAGTCTCCTGGTATTATAGAAAAAGGAAAGTAACGTCATCTGTGGGCTTTTTCCTTTGTTTTTGTACAAATAACACGCTTTTACCATTAAAAAATATTCCCCCCCCCTCAAGTCATCCTCTGCTCCATAGTGAGCTGGAGGCCAGCCTGGGCTACAGAGTAAGTTCTAGGTCAGCCTGGACTACACTGAGCCTGTTTCCATAAAGCAACCACCTAGGCAAGCAAGTACCTTTTCACTTAGGGGAAACTGAGGCCCACTGGATGAAGGGAGTAAAGTGAACTCCCCAAACCCTGTAGACGAACTTGACCTGTTAAGATGGTGTGCGTGTGTGTGTGTGTGTGTGTGTGCGCGCGCTCACGTGCGTGCATGCGTGTGTCTGTGTAAGTTTTAAAGTTTCATGGCGCAAGAAGCCTGTGATGTGAGGGTGTGGGCTGTGAGCATCGGAGGGGAGGACCGAGTTCCAATGAGGAAGGTTCTTGCACTTGGTCACCCCATCCCCGCCCGCCCTCTTAGGACGTCCCACTGCCAAGGTGGGGTGTCAGCTGCAAGCGTGTTACCCTTATAACAGACTCCGTCAGTTGGGAATTCTGAGGCTGGAAATTGCGGCACCACAAGTAAGGTACAGGGAGAGAGGGTGGGTTTGGAACTAACCCCAAAAGAAACCAGATCACTCACCTTGCCATCCTCCACCCCTGCTGTGGAAAAAATTGTTTGTTTTTACATTTATTTATTTTGGTGAAGGTGTGTGTGTGTGTGAAGGATGTGGAATTCAGGCCTGACAACTGTGGGAGTCGGGCTTCTTGTTCAATCCATTGTGTGGGTTCTAGGGATCGAACTCAGGTCGTCAGGTTTGGCAGCAGTCACCTTTACCACTGAGCCCTCTTGCCAGCCCTCCCTACTCCCAAGAGCAGGGGTCACAGGTGTGCCCCTCCTGTGGGGATTTTCCATTTCAGCTCTGCGTTGGGCCAGTTGACACAGGGCCTGGCTCAACACACGGTCCAGGCGTGTGTTCTCTTTTATTTCCTCTGCCAAAACCTCGGGTCCCCGAGGATGTGTTCGGCTTCCACTGCATCCCAGGGACCTAGAATGATACTCTGCGCTTAGATACCGGACAGTTGTAGAGAGCAGACTCAACAGTAGCTGCTGACATCTGAAGGTCAGCGACGATGCTGGTCCAAGCAACGATACTGGTCCAAGCTTCAGCCTCCAGTTTCTACCCGAAGCACTCAGCAAACTGATGAGCTGGACTGCGGCCTAGCCCTCGATGATGAAACTCAGGCACAGAGAGGTGAAGACGCTTGGCAAAGGTCACACAGTGGGCGAGAGAGCATGCGAGCGGGCTCCTATTTGAACCGTGTGCTCCCCAACTTCTAGCCCCGTTGGAAGATGAGGAAAAAGGGCAAAGCTTGGAGGAGTGTGGCTCAAAGGGGTGCTGCTTAAAGAAAAAGGTGGCTGCTGACAGACATGGGTGTGAAGGGAAAAAACACTTCCAAGTTTTCATGCTTTCGACCCAGGTCACTATTTCTGAACCTTTTCTGTCGTAATGACTTTTTTTTTTTAATCTTATTTTTATTTCGGGTGTGTGATGGTCAGAAGACAACTTGTGGGAGTCCATTGCACCAGTGTACAATTCTGGGACTGAACTCGAGTCCTGAGGCTTGGAGGCCAGCCCCTTCGCCGGCTGAGTCATCCTCGCACGGCCAGCCCGAGTTTGGTGTTCATTTGAGGCAGGCTCACACTGTAGCACAGGCTGGCCTAACTTGAGGTTCCTCCTGGCCTCTGTCTCCTGAGTGCTGGGATGACCGTGGGCTCGAGCCCCGTCCAGCTGAGGCTGGTTCTGGTGTGTGTTTTTATCAAAGGCTTGAGTTACAAGGGTGTCTCAAAAAACTGCCAAGCAGGCAGAGCGGCTGAGGTGAGGGCTTCTGGGAAGCGGGATGTGCGGGAGATGCGGAGTAAAATGGAGGGTTTCAGCAGTGAACACAGGCGACCTCACAAGCCTCCGAGCCACAGCGGACGGCTTTGGAGGACCGGCTCACTCTGAGATTGGGTCTTACCCTGGTCCTTCCATAAGGTCATCCTTAAGGCCTAGTTGAGGGTGGGACCCAGCCCGGCGTCACCCAGCCAGCAGTGTTCTTTCTGGACCAGAGGACCAAAGCCGTGGCAGGCAGGGCTGGACCCCCTGGGAGGCCAAAGTTCCCCTGGGTGGGGCCGTGACACGCTGGGCATGTGGCCAGTCTGCCCTGGGTGTGGATGGCAGGTGTGGGTGAGGCTTTAACTCTGCCCTTCCAAGGGTTCCTGAGCCAGAAACAGTCCCTGAAGCTAAGCTTGTTTCAAATGACGCTGGAGGTGTGGGTAGGACCGGGTTTAGACCCGGAAGCCATGAGCCATGTGGCTTCAGAGCCGCCCTCTGCCACTTAGAAGCTGTGTGACAGAGGGTGGGATGCTCAGCCTCTCTGGGCCCTGGCATGCACCCTGGAGGACCAGTGTCCATCCTGAAGGGTTGCGGGGCCGGGGGAGGGGGGGCTGCATGGTGTCACACCCCAGCCCTGCCGGCATGGGGCACAGTTTCTCTCCCCTGGAAGCCACAAACTTCTTCTTTTTAGGAAAGAGCCTGGTGGGGGTGGCGTGGGCTCCCCCCACTTCCCCTGTGTGGTGGGGGGGTGGGGCCTAAGCTACCCCCACTTCCCCTGTCTGTGTGTGACCTTGGCCAAGTTACTTCCTGTCTGTAGCCTTGCTTAGTGCCTGTCCTGGAGGAGAACTGAACCTTCCAGGACAGGGTGTGTGTGTGTGTGTGTGTGTGTGTGTGTGTGAGAATGGGTGTGTGAGTGTGTGTGAATGGGTGGGGTGAGGACAGGTTTTGTGTGTGTGTGTGTGAATGGGTGTGTGTGAGTGTGTGTGTGTGAATGGGTGTGTGAGTGTGTGTGAATGGGTGTGTGAGTGTGTGAATGGGTGGGATGAGGACAGGTTTTATGTGTGTGTGTGTGAATGGGTGTGAGTGTGTGTGTGAATGGGTGTGTGAGTGTGAGTGTGTGAATGGGTGTGTGAGTGTGTGAATGGGTGTGAGTGTGAGTGTGTGAATGGGTGTGGAGGGGAGTGTGTGAATGGGTGGGGTGAGGACAGGTTTTGTGTGTGTGTGTGCATGGGTGTGGGGGGTGAGGACAGGTTGTGTGGGGGTGGGTTGTCTTGTGTGATGGAGATGTACTAAGCACTCGGTACTGACTGGTAGAGGGCACAGTGCCTCAGTTTCCAGTGACAGAGTACCCCGTGTATATTAGGTACTGTGCCCAGGACTTAGTAACCACTCATTTCTGCTCCTCGCGCCCTTCAGGAGGTAGGGCCCATCATGTCTTCCCTAAGTGACAGGTGAGGTGGTGAGCTCTCCAGGTCATGTGGGTGAAGGGGTTCTGCGGGGGTTTGAACCGAGGTCCGTGGTGTCAGACTTTTCACCCTCTCAGCCCCTGGTCCTCCCCAGTGCAGCCTGGCTCCCGGGCCGGGCCAGCTGCCCCATGGGGTGTTCCGCAGAGAGTTCCTTAACTCTGAGGCAGCTCCGCTGTACAGCACAGGTCTGTCCCCAACACTGGGACACACTGGTGGCAGGGCCAACGCTGTGTCTCCATCCCAGCCATGGGGTGGGACAGTGCAGCCGGATGCAAGCCAAATGGCTTTTTGTGCCCTGGGGAACCGGACGGACCAGGTGGCTGCGAAAGCGGCCTCCAGGGAAGCGAACCAGGGTCCTGGGATCTTTCCTCACACTTCCTGCGCTTCAGCCACAACTTCCTCATCCGACCTGAGAGCAGAGGTGGGGGTGGAGGGGTGGTAGAGATGGGGAAACTGAGGCCAGGCTGGGGCTGGTCCCGCCCACGTCTTGTCCGTCTGCTATTCTTGGCATCTCTGCCGCTTCTGGTCATCCTGTATTCACCTTTGAGTAAGACTTGAGGCTGAGCCTAGGACCCTGAGCAAGCTGCCTGGTCCCCAGCTCAAGCCTTCCTGTCTACTTTATCTCCTTTTCTGCCTCTTCCTGTGTCCATCAATTCCTCACAGTGTGCTCATCTGTTAACCTGTATCTCTCTTTTTTTTTAGTAGTAGTGTACATTCAGTGAAGGACCTTGAGCAAGCACTCTACCACTGAGCCACGCCCCCAGCCCCTCACTGGGGGATTCTAGGCAGGGGCTCTACCCCTGAGCCACGGCCCCAGCCCCTCACTGGGGGATTCTAGGCAGGGGCTCTACCACTGAGCCACGCCCCCAGCCCCTCACTGGGGGATTATATGGGCAATCAATTTTCTGCTTCTACTCTATGGGTCTAGGAGATTGGCCTTGGGTCATCAGTTTGATGTAAGGCACCACTTTTTTATCTGCTGAGCCATGTCTCTGGGCCATGCTTTGTTCTTCTGAATTCTCTCACTGTCTGGGTCTCCGGGAGCACATCTGGGTCCGCTGTGCCGTCTCTCCGTCTCTGTGTGCGCTCTTCTCCCATGCTCCCTGTTGCAGGGAGACCCAGGTGGAGAATGACGGCCCCTCTGCTTTCTTTCCTGGCAGCGAGACGGTTGTCTGTTCCAGCCGGGCCACTGTGATGCTTTACGATGACAGCAATAAGCGATGGCTACCTGCTGGCACCGGTCCTCAGGCCTTCAGCCGCGTCCAGATCTACCACAACCCCACGGCCAACTCCTTCCGAGTTGTTGGCCGCAAGATGCTGCCGGACCAGCAGGTGCAGGCTCCCTGTCCCCGTCTCCCTGTCCCCCTGTCCCCCTGCCCCCAAACGCTCACCACCCCCCACCCACCTGTGTCCCTCTTGTAGGTGGTTATCAACTGCGCCATCATCCGAGGTGTCAAGTACAATCAGGCCACTCCCATCTTCCATCAGTGGCGAGATGCCCGCCAGGTGTGGGGCCTCAACTTCGGCAGCAAGGAGGAAGCATCCCAGTTTGCGGCCGGCATGGCCAGTGCCCTGGAGGCCTTGGAAGGTTAGGAGGGCACGTGGGACAACGTTGGGGCTTGGGAAGCTGGGCAAGGGGGACTGTAAGAAGCCCCAGGCCAGCCTGGATGACATAGCAATCGAAGATAAATAAGTAAATAGAATCAATCTGGAAATGTCCGTCTGTAGGCAGAGAACTCATCTAGCGTGCGTGAAGCTCCATGTTCAGTCCCCGGCAACATGTGAACTAGGCCTGGTGGCATATGCCTGTCACTCAGCCCTCAGCAGGTGACAGGGGCTGGGGACAGGAGGATAAGGCCATCCTTGGCTACACAGCAGTGTGAGACTAGCCTGAGCTACATAAGACTCTATCTTTAAAAAACGTGTGTGTGTGTGTGTGTGTGTGTGTGTGTGTGTGTGTGTGTGTGTGGGCAAATCACCATACATGTAATTGTTTCTAAGTGGCGGTTAGGGTGAGCAGAGGGGACCCCCTCAACAGTGCGCTTTTGCCAGAAGCTGCTATTGTACTCTTCGGGACCTGGGTCTACCTATCTGTAAGACAGTTAACCCATGGACCGTACAGAAAACCCCTGTGAGCATTGTTCATGCCCGGCGTATGCCGAGGTGTGGTAGCACGTTCCCTGAGACCACGTGCTGGACGGACATGCATTTATCCAGCATGTGCAGGCTGGGTGCTGTGTTCATGTGGAGTGACTGGACAGCTGTTCTGGTCCGCTCTCTTCTCCTACCTTGTGGACCCAGGCACTAAACTTGTGTCTGCAGGCTCAGCAGCAGCTGCCTTACCCCATGCAAATCTTCTTTCCCATTTCCTTTATCTTTTCCTTTCTTGAGATCAGGCTTCCCTATATATCCCTAGCTGGCTTGGAACTCACAGAGATCCACCTGCCTCTGCCTCCTGAGTGCTGGGATTAAAGGTGTGTGCCACTATGCCGGGCTACATAGTATCTCTTACCTTTTCAAAATCATTCAACTCAGTGGGGTAAGGGTGGGGTGGGTGATGGATGTGTCTGGGTCTAGTGCAGGGAATAGAACGCTTTTTTTTTTTTTAAGCTCTCTAATTGATGCTAAGATTTTTTTTTTTTTTTTTTTTTTGGAGGTACTGGTGAATGAACAGGGCCTTAGACATGCTAAGCAGGAGGCTCTACCACTGAGCCACACCCCCAGCCCCTCACTGGGGGATTCTAGGCAGGGGCTCTGCCACTGAGCCACGCCCCCAGCCCCTCACTGGGGGATTCTAGGCAGGGGCTCTACCACTGAGCCACGCCCCCCGGCATCCCCACCCTCAGACAGGTAGCCGCTCTGTTTTCTATAGAGTGAAATCTGCCCAGTGGCTGAGGCGGTGGCATCCCAGGGCCTTGCCGGTACTAACGGAAGAGCTTGCCTGTTGTGTGTGGAGAAATGCCATCCGCAGTGCAGACCTGTTTTCTGTCCCTCAGGGCTGGAAAAGTTATTGTCCCTGCAGATTTCCAACCGGAGTGGCTTAGTGACTTGTGGCACCTCTGTGTCCTTTGGGCGTCCCAACAGCACCCGCCCCACAGCAGCTCGGGCCCAGGGAGGATGTGAGGGTTCTGGTTCAGTGGGATGGCACCCTCAGGAGAGGGGAGGCTGAGGGGGTCAGACTCCTGCGTGCTCACTGGTTTCCCCCTTCGCCTTCCAGGAGGTGGGCCTCCCCTGGCTGCGGCGACACCCTCTACCTGGTCTGCACAGAACGGCCCCTCCCCAGACGAGCAGGAACAGAAGAGGTGGGGACCCTGGCTCCCCTTGGGGTGGCCCCCCCCCCGGGTTTATACCCTGCCAAGAGTCTAGAAGCGAACAACAGTCACACACCACTCCCTTAGCTCCTGGAGTTCAAGAAACTGTCCTGCAAAGCTGCGCCTGGTGGCACACACCTGTCATCTCAGTACACAGGATGCTGAGGCAGGGGGATGGCCGAGAGTTTGAGGCTAGCCTGGGCTATATCGTGAATTCCAGGCTAGCCTTGGAAATCAGTATGAGACCCTGTTATGATAAAGCAACCCCTTGCTGGATGTGTTGGAGCATATCTTCAATACCAAGCATTTGAAACGTAGAGGCAGGCAGATTGGCAAGGTAAAATCCGTTCTGGCTGGGCGGTGGTGGTTTAATCCCAGCGCTCAGGGTTTTTGTGAGTTCGAGGCCAGCCTGGTCTACAGACGAGTTCCAGGATAGGCTCCAAAGCTATAGAGAAACCGTCTCGAAAAACATAAGAATCGCTCTGAGTCTGGCCGGTGGTGGTGCACGCCTTTAATCCAGCACTCAGGAGGCAGAGGCAGGCAGATCTCTGTGAGTTCGAGACCAGCCTGGTCTACAAGAGCAAGTTCCAGGACAGCCTTCAAAACCACAGAGAAACCTTTTCTCAAAAAAAAAACAAAACAAAACAACAACAACAAAAGAATCCACTCTGATCTACATAGTATATTCCAGGCTACATAGTGCGAACCTGTCTCAATAGAGGAAAAAAAAAGAAAAACCGTTCCCCCACCCCCAAGAATCTGATAAACGAATATACCGTTTGGGTGCCCCTGCCTCCACACCTGGGTTCCACTGCTGAGAGACCCTTGGCCACTTTGTAGTCAGCTATTTGTGACAGCTGGGAAAATGCTTACACCCAGGCCTCATGGGGGCTGCCTGCTTCTCCTCCTCATCCCCTCTTCCCTGGGCCCTCAGTGGGCAGATGCTTCGGGGCAGGTGCTGGCCTTGCTGGTGACCTCTGAGAGAGGAACCAGGTGCTGCCGGCCCTGTGGCTAGCTTGGTCTGAGTGCTCAGGGCCTCTTCCTTTCCCCTGCACAGGCCGCCTGAGCACATGGAGCGCCGCGTCTCCAACGCAGGTAGAGGCAACCGCTGGGTCGCAGGGACCTCCCTGGAGGGGCGGGTTGGATGGCGGCGGGACAAAGGCTAAGGTTTCTCTGCAATGCTGCTGTTCCCTCTCTTTATTGCAGGCCCGCCCGCTCCCCTAGCTGGGGGTCCGCCTCCACCTCCAGGACCTCCCCCTCCTCCGGGCCCCCCTCCGCCCCCTTCAGGGGTATCTGCTGCAGGTCATGGAGCAGGGGGAGCCCCACCCCCTGCACCCCCACTGCCCACAGCTCAGGGTCCCAGTGGTGGGGGTCCCGGGGCCCCAGGCCTGGCTGCTGCCATTGCTGGAGCCAAACTCAGGAAAGTGAGCAAGGTGATTGTCTGGGAGAGGAAGCCCTGAGGGGACAATGGGAGGCGGTCAGAGTGCCCCCAAGGTGTCACAAGAGGCCTGGGAGATGACCTGGCTTACCTTTGAAGCCCTCTCCCCCATTTCATCCCTTCAGCAGGAGGAGGCCTCTGGGGGGCCCTTGGCCCCCAAAGCTGAGGTTGGTCGAAGTACCGGAGGGGGGCTTATGGAAGAGATGAACGCCATGCTGGCCCGGAGGTGAGCCCGGCGAGTCAGCCAGCCAGCACACGGGGTTAGGCTTTTGGGGTGCGTCCCCCCCTCTGTCCCGGGCGGAACTCCCATCCTCCCAGCTCTCAGCCTCCTGAGTGCTGCTGGGACGACACACACACACTTGCACACTTGTTTGTTTCTTTGGGTGGGCAGTCCTGCCTGATGATGACAGCCATGTCTGGGACACAGTGCTGGAGACTGCCATCCTCTGAGGTGGCTCACACCCTGTCAGACGTCCCTGGCGCTTTGACTCTTAATCTCAGCCAGCTGATGGAGAAAACTTCTCACCCTCACGGCTCTCACGGTTTCCCGAGGTGTGGGAATCATTGCTCCCCCCCCCCCGCGCGCGCGCGCCCCCCGGTTCTACGGGTGCAGTCTCCAAGCTGGATGTTGGTGTAGGAAATTTAAGTGGCTTACTCTTACTTGTCCTGTGTGCGAGCGTGCATTTGGCACCTGGGAGGAATCTTTTTCTCTCCTTTCGCCCGGTGGGCTCTGGGAATCGAACTCACTGAAGGTTCTCAACTGGCTGGAAACTGGCTTATTGTTGTTGTTGTTCTTAGCCCTGGCTGGGCTGGAAGTTAAACCTGTCTCTGCCTCTCAGTGTTCAGTGTGAGTGTGGTTTGTATGTGTGGGCACACGTTGTTTGGAGGTTGGAGGAGAATCTGCAGGATTTAGTTCTCTACTTTCAACCCGACTGACATGGGCCCCTGGGATTAAGTCAGGTGATCTGGCCTGGCGTCGAGCACCTCTACCTGCTGAGCCCTCTTGCAGGCCTTCACTCCAGGTCACCCTGGGGTCTAGCAGTGGGAAGGGACGCTCTTGAGTGGCAGAGGGTGAACTGTAGCTTGTTCTTGCTTGCCCCTCTGCAGAAGGAAAGCCACACTGGTTGGGGAGAAGCCCCCCAAAGACGAGTCGGCCAGTGTAAGTCGGGGGCTCTTCCTGCTCTGCATTCCTTTAAGGTGCACCCTAGGGCAGGGAGGAGGTGTTCCATGGTTCATCTGGTTTTGGACCTGGAAGATGAACGTTGGGCATGGAAAGGGTGGTTTAGGACACTTTTATTTACTGCCAGCAGGAGGAGCCAGAGGCCCGGGTCCCCGCCCAGAGTGGTGAGTGACAGCCCTGTCAAGCCGTAGAAACTTCAAATCCCAGGATGCATTGTTCTTGCCTTGAAAGCACTTGCATGGGAAACCTGTGAAAATAATACTGGGGACTGTAATTTTCTGAAATAGTTATTCCACCTGGTGGGTTGGGTGGTGGTATATTTTGTGGGGGCCAATGCTTGTTTCTCATCTTTCTGATTTGTTGCTCCCCCCCCCCCAATCCACCCAGAACCTGTACGGAGACCGTGGGAAAAGAACAGCACAACCTTGCCAAGGTAGGCCATCGAAAGAGCCGAACTTTTGTCTTGCACAGGTCGGAACGTAATATAAGCCCTGGGCTAGGGAGCCGGGGAGGCAGTACCCCTCCCTAACCTCATTCCTGTCCCACACCAGGATGAAGTCCTCCACTTCTGTGACAACCTCCGAGGCCCACCCCTCTCCCCACAGCTCCAGTGATGACTCCGACTGGGAGAGGGTGAAGCAGGTAGCTTGAGTTATCAGCGCCCATGATGCCCAGAGAGACAGACCTCTAGGGAAAGCTTAAAACTTCCCTGTCTCCTAGTCTGAGAAAGGGAGATGGTGGGCGGGGTGCACGGGGACCGGCACCCCTACTACTTTCCAGTGCCTGTAACAGACCTTACCTGCCTTTATCTCTTGTTCCTGCTGAGTACCCAGATTCCTCAGCTCAGTGGCTCCAGCTATCCATCTCCGGTCAGAGTTGGCAGGAGATGATGTACATTTGGCAAGCTTCTTACTGGATATTCTCCAGAACTGTTCTGCTGGAACCAAAGATCTAGAATTCTCCTATAGAACAGACCCATCATTTTGTGACCTTGGCAATTGTGTCAAAGGATGAGGGTGGGAAGGGTTGTTGAACCAGCTTCTTCTGTCTTTTTCAGACAAGAAGGGAAACCATGCTCAGCAGAAGCATGCCTACAACCCCCCCCCGACCCCCCAGTGAGAGGGACTGGGGTGTGGCTGAGTGGTAGAGCCCCTGCCTAGAATCCCCCAGTGAGGGGCTGGGGTGTGAGCCCCTGCCTAGAATCAGCAGTAAAGTGCTTAGGTATCATTCAAGATGCCCTAGGTTCCATCCCTGTCCCTGCAATAAAATGGACTGTTGAGATGGCTCAGCAGATGAAGGTCCTTGTGCCAGTCTTGACAACCTAAGTTACATTTGCAGAGCTCATGGGTAGGAGTGAACTAACTCAAGCCGTTCTCTGACCCAGACAAGTGCTGTGTGGCATGTGCGCATGCCCATGCGTGCACAAGCGCACCAGTAATTGTTCCAGAACTTTAGGAAAGTTGAAGTAAGAGAGGGGTCGCTGTTTCCGCGAGTCCAGGTCTCCTCTTGTTTGTTTCTTTCAGGAGCTTCTGGAAGAGGTGCGGAAGGAGCTGCAGAAAATGAAAGACGAAATAATTGAAGGTGAGGTGCTCCTGCTCTAACCTAACTTAGCGCATGCCAGGGCTTGCCTGTGGAAAGAGCCTGCCTCGGCAGGAGGGGACAGACGCCTGAATTCTTCCTCTTCCTTCCTTCCAGCCTTTGTTCAGGAGCTGAGGAAGAGGGGCTCTCCTTGACCACAGAGACCCACAAGACCCCTTCCTCCTCTACTTCCCGCCTGGCGCCTGCTTTCCCTGACTCAACTTGACCAAGCATACGCCAGAAGGCATACTCCCCACTGTCTCCCACCTGGAAGGTTCCAGAGGGTGTGGCTTCCTGGTGCCATGACCACACTCCACTGGCCGCTGATTGGCTGATTGGCTGAGGTCCCACCCCTTTGCTCCCTTTGACCCTTCCCCTCTGCCTCCCCTTGGGGCTGGTTCCTCTGCTGGGGATGTACCCAGTAACCCAGAGTTAGGGAAGGAAGGAGGGAAGCGCACCTTCCCTTGTTCTGGATTCACTTTAACGCTTTAATGCCTTGGATTTTTTTTTTTTTAAGAAAAAGTATATATATATATATATATATATATTTGGGTTGTGGGGGGAAGGGAATTTTGTTTTCTCTTTGGTTTTGATAAAATGGGGTGTGGGAGTTTTTAAATGCTATAACCCAGGCTTGTCCCATTGGAGGCAGCGATATGATATAAGCAGGAGATGTCCCAGCAGGCGGGAGGGTTTCCACCACTCCAGGGGCTCCTCCCCCTTTTCCTTGGCTCCCCCCTCTTTTCTATGAGGAATTAAGATTCTCTAACTTTTTTGGAACCTCAGTTTTGTGGTTTTGTTTTTTGTTTTGTTTTTAATTTGGGTTAGGATTTCAGGGTCCAGACCATTTTTGCCCTCTGGGAAGATGAAGTGAGGGGAAGAAGAGGAAACATAGGTCCTCCGACTTCCACACCTTAGCTTCTTGGACACGGGCCTTCGCTGAATAAAATCTGCGGTTTTTATAAATGAAGGTCTCTGGAGTGACTTGGGAGAGGGGGTTGCTGCCAGCTGTGGGGACCCGTGCAAGGGTGCCACTGTTCCTGCTCCCGGGAGCCTGCGTACAGACTCCTTCCTGGTTCTGGCCAGTACTCCGCTGCAGCCCTCCGCTCCCCTCCGCGGGGCCCTCCGCTCCCCTCCACGGGGCCCTCCCCTCTTCGGGCCTCCATCCTACGGTGCTGGGGCTGTGTGTCCCTCAGCTTAACTCTGAGATGCTCAATTTACCTGGGAAAGGTCTCACAAGATGGCAGGCACCCCTCGCCACTCTTTAGTGGAATGAAGGACACTTCTGCCCATCCAGCCCATGATAGTTCGAGACACACTCCTTAACCTGAGACTGCTTTAATTATAAAACATTTAAGTCTTAAAAAAAAAAAATAGAAGTCAGAGCTCATAGGCCACCCCTGTGGCCCAGTGCTCTAGTAAATGAGTGGGTAAGGGAGTTAATTGGACTTCTGGAATGTTCCATTTGGTCTGAGGTGAGGCTTTGCCTGGAAGACCAAAGGCAGAAAGGGAGGGTGGTGGTCCCTGAGAACGCTGTGAAATGTAGGTGGTGGTGGCAGGTGTGGCCCTTACAGAAGACCAGCAAAGAGCCATGGAGAGGGGCACGGGGGTAGGAAATGAAGGGGCCAAGTGGAGATAGGCAGATGGCTCATTCGTGGTTAGAACCAGCTTCCCTTCCCCTAAGACGTGATGAGGAGATGCACCCAGCCAGCTATGGGTAGCGCCCTGAACTAAAGGAAGAGGGTCCACCCAGGAGGGAATGCCAGGCAAGGCAACTCAGGGGGCGGGGCGAGGCGGGGCCTCCTCCCTTAAAAGTGAGGTAGAGGGAAGCAGGGAGTGTCGCAGTGTGATGGGCCAGTGCCCTAGGTGGAAGGTCCCCTACATGCTGTGCCCTCCCTTTCCAAGTGCAGCATCCGAGTGCTGGTGGATTGGGGTTGGGGATCTGGCGTGCCCCACCAGTGGGTGAGCGACCCCCGTGGGAAGGAACGTTCACACCACTCGGGCCTAGGATCCCTCGGTCCTCAGACACCAGGGCATGTCAGCTGGCTCAGTTTCCAATGGGCCCATGCAGAGGCCAGGCGAGCAACAACCCCAGACAGCAGTCCGCGTCCAAGGTCAGAGTCCAGTCCGGGGGCCTCTACTCGGGAGGCTGGGGCTCTGGCTCAGGCCCCTGGCGCTCCTCGCAAATACTGGTTCTGAACGCCTGCAGCTCCGCCCGCAGCTCCGCCCTCAGCTCTTCGAGTTCTTTCCTTGGCACTGCCGCCTGCACCTGCACCTGCAGCTCGTCCAGCGCCTGCTCCAAGTGGTCCACGTCCTCCCTCAACGACAGCACCGAGGCCAGGCGCTCCACTTCCTTGCGGCGTTTCAGGGACTGCTGGCGCCAGAACTCCAGCAGCAGGCAGCTGCCAGCGCAGGCGAAGATGATGGCCTCGCCCAGCAGGTTCGCGCCCAGCTCTGCCGCTGCCTCCTCGTTCAGCGGCTTGATGGCCTCGGCTTGGAAGCCCATGATGCGCATCTTGGTCCGCATCTCTGCCCAGTGGTACACTGCGGGGAAGAAAGGGACAGGGTTTGTTTTGGCCTGCGTTCTTGACCCCTGTAAGCACCACCCCCTGCTCCGCTCCGTGTGTGTCCTGGGGATCAGAGCCAGAATAGCCTGACAGTCACCCAGTCCACACACTTAGACTTATCTGGTCTGGGAGTATCTGAGGATGTGGTTTTAAAATGGTTCAGGGACTGGGGGTGTGGCTAGTATCCCAGGGATAGTATTCCTTGCACCATCTGGAACCCAGGTTGATGGCATAGGTCTATAATGGCAGCACTCAGGAGATGAGGCAGGAGGATCTAAAGTTTATGGTCTTGGTGGCGCACGCCATTAATCCCAGATTCGGGAGACAGACACAGGCAGATCTCAGTGAGTTCGAAGCCAGCCTGGTCTACAGAGCTAGTTCCTGAACAGCCAAGAATGTTACATAGAGAAACCCTATCTTGAAAAGCCACAGACACACACAAATAATAATAACAACAACAATAATAATTAGTCCAGAAGAACCTGGAAAGTGGGAACTGGTTGAGCAGTAAGAAGCTTTCAGTCTGGGAAGCTCTGCAGGGGTAGGGTCACAAGGAGGTCCCCGTGAAAAGACCCCCCAGAACATTCATATGCATAAAGTAAAAACAAACCAGTCACCATGCCTTTAATCTCAGCACCCTGGAGGCAGAGGCAGGTGGATCTCTCTGAGTTTAAGGCTGGCCTGTTCTACAGAGTGAGTTCCAGGACAGCCAGGGCTACACAGAGAAACCCTGTCATGATAAAACAGCAACAAAACAAACAATAAACTGTCCTCAAGTAAATTCTAGTGAGGCTCCCCTATTTACCATCTTATGCTTGTGCATACCGGGTGTGCATGACTAAAATGTTATGGGGCTAGAGAGAAGGCCTGTGTCTGGCCACTCACTACTTACTGTCACTGGAGGGGATCTGATGGCCTCCTCTATCCTCCCTGGTGCCCCAACAGACACGCCACACATAGGCACACGCACATAAACACAAGTAAGAAATAAAATGTTTAAAAAAATCAAATTATACATTGTGGGACAGTGCATGTTTAGTAGAAAAACACTTATCGATCAACCAGACTAAGAACTGCCAACAGTACACCCTTAGCCACCGATTCCTCTCAACTCTGTAAAAGGAAGCCTTGGAAAAACACTGGGTCCCCAGAGAGCTCCCTCTGCTGGAGCAGCTTCAGATCCTGACAGAGTGGTCCTCCCTAACCTGCCTGCTTTCACTAAAGCTCCGCTCTGTTAAGTTAGGTGGCTTTCCCAAGCCCACGTAAGCCCCCATTGTCAATTTAGTGTATGCCAGTGCTTGAGTGTACGCCTGCCTCTGTGTGTGTGTGTGTGTGCCTGCCTGTGTGTGTGGTGTATGTGCCTGCCTGTGTGTGTGTGTGGTGTGTGTGCCTGTGCGCCTGCCTGTGTGTGTCTGTGTGTGAGCCTGTGTGTGTGTGTGGTGTGTGCCTGTCTGTGAGCCTGTGTGTGTGTGTGGTGTGTGCCTGCCTCTGTATGTGTGTGGTATGTGCCTGTCTGTGAGCCTGTGTATGTGTGCCTGTGTGCCTGCCTGTGTGTGTGTGGTGTGAGCCTGTGTGTGTCTTGCCTTGTAGCCCTGGCTGGAAATCACAAACACCTGCCTCTGACTCCCAAATGCTGCTGGAGGATTAAGGATCAAACCCTGCGAGGGCTTCATGAGCAGGAGGCAAGCTCACCCATGGGCTGGAGCTGCAGCCCTGGCCCCTCATTGACTTTCAGTCGGACATGGATGCACCCTGCCCCGAGGCTGCAGGGCTGTCTTCCCAGGCCCCACCCTCACACCACCAACTCCTCTTTTAACAATTCTCCCCACCCCCACCAACTTTGAGCTAGGGTCTTGCTATGCAGATACAGATCCTCCTGCCTCAACCTCCCAAGTGCTGGATTCTATCTTCTATTTGAAACTTGTGTCTCTCTTTGGACCTGGAAATATCTTTTATGTGCTCTCAAGAATGATGCTGGGCATGATGACGCTCACCTTTAATCCCAGCACGGCAGAGGGATCGTTTTTTTTAGTTTGAGGCTAATGTGGTCTACAGAGCTAGTTCCAGGACAGCCAGGGCTACACAGAGAAACCCTGTCTCAACAACAACAACAACACAAAAAAAAAAAAAAAAAAAAAAAAAAAAAAAAGAAAAGAAAGAAAGAAAGAAAAGAAGAAAAGATGAATCTACCATATGGAGGCTTGGCCTTTTGCTCTGAGATCCCTGAAGCTTTAGCACTTTGGAATGTCTGGCCTCTAATCTGTCTCTGAGCAATTTGGATTCAGATGTGCTAGGGTATATCCCGAGTACCTATCTCCAAGGGTTTTGAATCCTTCTTTCTTGGGGCTTCAGGGTTTTGGTTTTTTTGTTTGTTTGCTTTTTAGACAGTCTCCTTATGTAGCTTATGTAGTAGTCCTGGCTGGCCTGAATCTTCCAATGTGGACCAGGATGGCTTCAAATTCAGAGATCTTTGTGTCTCTGCTTCCTGATCAATGGACTAAAAAGGCTTGCACCACCATTTCCAATTTCATTTTAATTTTGTTTTTTTTTTTTTTTTTTTTTTTGAGGCAAGGTTTCTCTGTGTAGCTCTGGCTGTCCTGGAACTCACTTTGTAGACCCGGCTGGCCTTGAACTCACAAAGATCTGCTTCCTGAGTGCAGGGATTAAAGGTGTGCACCACCACCTGGCTTTCATTTTAGTTTTTAAATGATATTTATTTATTATATTTGTGTGATTATGTGGATACTAAGGCATACTTGTGGATGTCAGAGGACAAGTGATAGCAGTTGAATCTCTCTTTCCATCACAGAGTCCCAGGGACTGAAACTCAGGTCCCGAGGCGTGGCCACAAGGGGCTTTATCCATATCCATTGAGCCACTTGTTAGCCACAAGTCCAACTTCTGATGTAGCTGCCGGGAATTTGAATTCAGGTCCCCATGTTTAGCAGCAGACCCACAGAGCTATCTTTCCAGCCCCACATCCCTCTTTTTAAGATAGGATTTTACTTTGCAGCCCAGGTGGGCCCCAGACTCCTGGCACAGCTCTTGTCTCGGCCTCCCAAGGGCTGGAGTTACAACTATGAAGGAGCAAGCATGCTCAGATCGCTACTTCCATTTCTGACAGCCTCTCGTGAGCCCAGGCTGGACCGGAGCTCCCTGTATGGCTGACACTGACTTTGATGCTATCCTTGCAGAGCTGAAATTTCTTTTCCTGGTCCGTGATGGAACAGACGCAGGAAGTCGTGCTCATTGCTCAGGGATGGACCGGTCTGTGGGCTCCCTAGCTCCATCCTCCAATCTTCCGTCTGGACTTTGTTTCTCTTTCCCATCCTGGGAATTCCTCTTTTATATACTGTCAAGGATTATCCTAGTGACACAGAGGCCTGGCCTTCGCCCTGAGATC